AAGTTGTTTTCCATCGTTCTTCTTTCTGTCAGACAAAACAACGAGGATAGATGGAAAAGGATCGGAATCGACCAAATTATGTATTCCTCATCCTGCATGACGTAGTATCAACGACCTCTTTGTCAGCCAAAAGAAATCCCTCGATTTAAAATAAATGTGAAATGTCTGAGTGACAGAAACTGTGTCAACTTTTTAATTAGCAAACGAGATTTATTTAAACTGGAATATATACAAAATGTCTATTTATTTAGAATGTATGAATGATTATTGAATAATGATTGATGTGTGAGGGGTTAAACTGACTTTAGATATTATTAGATCATTGGCTTCAACCCTGATTTGGTTCATTGATACCATAATAAAAATCCTAATCAAATACAACGGCCAACAGTAATTTTAAACTCGATCTTTCATACGGTTCCCCACATTTGCGAAACGAAGAAAATGTTTTGAGAGCTAACTTGGTGAAAGGACGCAAGAGGCCCTGTCCCCATCATTGTTATGTTAATAAGTCCGTTGTCGATGTCCCTGCAAACAGATGTAATACCAGTCAATTAGCCTTTGGAGTAGATCAAACAGGAGAGCAGGGAGCCCATTATTCGAAGGGGGCCAAATCCGGAGGGTTTGTTCCACATTGTGCCCCGTTTTCTATGTCCACATGCCCCGTTGTCATAGGAAACAGATAAACATCTCTCCCTCTCTGTTAGCTCTTTGGATTATGGACGGGGCCGGAGGGACCTTTGTCGTTGCGTCTTTTATCTGTTTGTGAAAAAAGAACATTATAAACATGAATCCATGTCAAGTTCTGCCGTAGCGAAATGGAACATCCTCATCCCATACTATCTATAATAATCAAATAGGCGAGTTTGAAAAAGGGGGTTATTTTTCCCATGACATTGATAGGCGTAATTATGTCTGTTGCTTCCTAATCTTACCTTTATGTTTGCTGACATTTTCCAAAGTAAAAGAAAAACTGTACAACATTATTTAAACTGCGATGAAAATGCTTCTCTAAATACCCCTAAGATTAAGCAAAATTTTGAATATTTAGCCAATCACCTGTAATCGATCAGAATGTTTATTTAGTTTTACTCCAATTGATTAAGATTTCCTTGTTTTATTTGTCATTTTTTGGGAAGGTCCATAGGCCGAATCATCGCTGAGAAAAATCAAATCAGTTCAAATCTCGATAGAATCTAAAAACCATTAGGAATGGAACCTTTGAGAGGAAGACGACAGTTCCTGTTATTCGTGTGTACTCTGTAAGTCCAACTTTATAAGCCTTATTCACTCAAGGCAAGAAGTGCTACCCTCACAATTATAATAGGATTTGTAAAGGATTAGTTGAAGTCCTTTTGTCCTGGGATTTTTTGCAAGATCTGTTAATCTCAGCAGCATGAACCTACCAGAAAGAAACAAGCCGAGTTTTCTATCAAGTGCTACTTCATAAAACTGATTCATTCTAAATAATAGGATTTGTAGATGAGATAGAAATGTGAAGCTCTATTTTGTGGTAATAAAAGTTTAGCTATTATTCCTCTGTCCTCTAAAGAGATTAATTAACTTCGTAAACCTGTTCTCGAGATAAGAAGGTACTACTTCAAAGTCAAAAAGATGTAAAGTTCATCAAAAGCAAAAACTGCTTTACATATATTTGAAAGTTTCGGGAACATCGACAAACGTCATCAAACACCTTTTCTGGAAAAGACAAATTAAATATTATTCGTCTATCCTCAAAAAAGTCTAAAGAAGATTTAACTGCCAAATGATAGGATTTCTAGAGAAGATAATTTTTAAGGTTTTAATTTTGATGCTTTCCACTGCTTTTAAGACTGTATGTAAAACATGGTACCTTCCACAATGAGAAGACGAAGCTGTTATTCTAAAGAGTCAAACGTTATGTTTGATTCTCTCTAGGTAAGAAGGTTTCTTTGTCTGGTCTGCAGGGTGATGAACATGTAGTTTGTTCATAACCGATCAATTTGGTATGGTTATCCCAACTGTGTTGGTGGATTTCGAATCAACCAGACAACCGTTGATATTTCCCGTTCTTCAGCTGTTGGTTAAAGAACGCTCTGAAAGACCAAAACAGCGAGAATAGGCGGACCAGAATCACTGCTAACGACCAACTATAGTTTCTTCACCCTTCAGGCCTCAAATAGGTATCGCCCAATTTGACCCAACAACGAAAATGGCGAAATGATCGTTTTGATCTCCATATCCTCGTTGGCTTGGTTTGGGCATTTACAACGAACAACTGCAGGTTTGTCACCCCCCTCAGATCACAAGAAAATTATCAAAGATCATCAAATTCAATCCAACACTGAAGATAGAACAAACGTTGATATTTCGGCTCTTTATCTGTTTGTTAAAGAATGCTCTGACAGACCAAAACAGCGTGAATAGGCGGACCAGAATCACTGCTAACGACCAACTATAGTTTTCTTCACCCTTCAGGTCACAAGTAGATACACACAATTCGACCCAACGACGAAAATGGCGAAATGAAGTTTGATTTTTCTCTATGTAAGAAGATTTTTGATATTTCTTCAATGTAGTTGGCGGGGTATTAAACCTGTAATTTGGTCGTTATTACCAATCGTTTTGATCTGCCTACCTCGTTGGGTTGGTCTGACAGACGCGGTTTGGCATTTCGCCATCTTCAGGATAGACGTGGATCAGAATCATTTAAAATCAAACAACTTCAAGTTTGTCACCCCTCAAATCACAAGTAAATGATCAAAGAACATCGAATTCAATCCTACACTGAAGATAGCAAAACGATGTTTGATTTTCTTTAGGTAAGAAGATCGTTTAGGATTTCTCCTTTCTCCTCCTCCGGGATGACGAACCTATAATGTGTTCCTTGCCAGTTGATTTCTGTCTGTCTCCAGTGTTGGATCTGTGAAAATGGCAAGAGTTCGAATTGTGTGTAGTTTGGTCTCTACTATATCTACAAAGATAAACAGACCAAGATGATTGGTAACGACCAAAGTATAAGGTTCTGTAAAAGGATCCCAAAAAGTAAACTCATATCCAAAATGGCATTTAACCACAGGTTGTAACAAAATCTAATGACATGAACAAAATTTAATAACGTGTGGTGATTAGTGACCGTTAATTGATAATTATTCAGAAATCGTGAGATGCGGTCTGGTGTGATGTAGGTTTCAGAAAAATTTTCATCGTGCCAACGTTTCGATCTTTATTGAGATCATCTTCAGGGCTCAAAGTGTTTGTCTCCTGTGTAATTGTGCCATTCTTGCGTGCCGTGTTGAGAGTGCCAATTACACAGAAAACAAACACTTTGAGCCCTGAAGATGATCTCAATAAAGGTCGAAACGTTGGCACGATAAAGAAAATGTTTTTCTGAAACCTACATCACACCAGACCGCATCTCACGATTTCTGAATAAAATTTAATAACATCTATCATGACATTCTAAATGTACAAATCATTTTACGGCTCTATAAAAGTATCATTTTCAAAAGGCTTCACACTGGATGCTATGTCTTGTTTTCATAATCAGTATTTTCATTTTAAAAGGTAGTTGTTATTTATAGGCTGATTATTCGGATCGATCATCCCAGTTTGCTGATATTGTCATTAGTGATCGAATCGCATGTAATTTAACAACTTTGACAATTTGATGTTTTGACGGGTCACTCCTTGTGCTTTAAGGCGTTAAGAACAAGAGGCCAATTCGTTTGGCTGACTTGGCAAACCGGGCCAAATCCATCATCCCGTTTTTTCGTTTCTTCATCATCAGCTCTCGTTCTTAAAGGGCAATCTAACGCCATACTCGCGTACTCACCCGCCGCCCATTAACGATATTCAGGCCGATGTCACGTTTTTAAAGCCCATGGCTTTTTTCCCGTTCGGAAATTACAACCGGTAGGAATTATGAGAGTTTCTCTCCCGGCGGTTCCGAATTAGACACGGACCTAATGAACTGGTTTTCTACTCACCATATTATTATGTCTTATTCTTCTTCCCTTTTTTCCTTCTTTCATCCACCCCACGGCCTTTTACGGCCCAGGTAACAACAAAAGTGAAAATCCGGCCTGGAGGCGAACAGGTAAAGAACACCTCAGACGCGCTAAACCGACGTTTCCGTGGGGGGTCTCAAAAATCTCAAGTGCCCGGAGCAAAGGCAATTAGGGAGATGGGCTAATCTATGGATTACCCGCAAACCCGTTTATTCTAGATAATATCGTTGACTTTTCTCACTTTAAAATCGGAAAAGTTAACATTTTAAATTATATATAAAAAGGCAAAAATATTAATTTTATGACTAAATTTTTTGAATATTATCTATTTAAATAAATATATGCCTATTTATCTATCTATCTCTTGTGTAGATTGTTGGTTGTTGCGTTTTTCATTTTCTCTTCTCTCTCACTCACTTTCACCCTCATTCTTCCATATTTCTCTCTATACATCCATCTTTCTTTCACTTTCCTTCTCTAATACTTCTTTTGTCAACTATGTGTGATAGACCGCTGTTTTTTAGCAACTTGGACAAATGAAAAACCTCTCTCTTACCTAATGTTTAAATTGATGAATAAAAAATGATAAATGGGCTAAATATCAAACGATTATCTTTGTTGTGATTTTATGTGAGCACAGGTAGTTTTAGACTGGATGGACCGCGAAAATGGATGATCATTTACATGCGTATCTTGTTATGGTAAAACTATTTTTTCAACAATCCTTTTGCATACTGCAAAGTTGTTTTTCTTTTTTTTCTACTCTTTGGATCGTGTTGTATTAATTAACAATGTTTTTCATCCCTCTACGAGCAGGTCACGTTCTGATGATGAGCCAGAACGAAAAGGGGATCGGGCCGCCCAGATGAAAGGAAGTGGGACCATAAAAAGCCCATCATTTTTGCATAACTTAACGTGAGTCCTTTTACAGATCCATTGTCGACCCTTTATTGGCAAGCTGTTGAAACGGAATACATAAAAAAAGAAGGGGGAAAACAATTTTCCACTTACCTCGGTCGACGATTTTTCCGAATAGGTTTTTCCCCCTGAGGAAGTTTCTCGTGGAGCAATTCCACCTACGGTTCCTGAACTGGAACTGGCATTCCAGGATGGCCTGGTTCGCACCTTTCGAGACGGCGACGAGAACGCCCTGGTTCTCCCTCACCAGCCGGCGCTGTTTCCTCCTCAGGGAAGACTGTGCTGAAGGTTCCATGTATAACATGCCCGGGGAAAGGGGCAAGAGGTTGTTGGGTTCTCCGGCTTTCGCTATACCCCTGAAAACAGGAAAAACAAAATTTCGGTCGATAAACCTCATACTCAGATATCATCTTATCACAGAAAGACATGTCAATAGCTCTAATCTACGTTTTACAATTATTTCCACTTGTGGTCTTTAGGGTGGTAAGTAGTTTAGTCGTTTGCAATCATTTTTTGGGTCTGTCAGGCAGGTCCTTCTCACCACATCCATTGTTCAGTCTGATGTCCATCATGGAGCCAACGCGCGTTTGACTGACCAAAACAGCGAGGATAAACAGACCAAAATGATCGAAAACGACTAACGTTATAATTTTTTTCAGAAGGAACAACTGCTTATAAATAGATGTCAAACAGAAATTAATAATTGAAAAACAGTGTGGGGTCATGATTGTTAATGGTTGTCTACTGACTATCAGTTTATTTTTTTTTTAAAGTTCAAAGGAAACCCGAATTTTTAAAAAAGTTGTGTCAAAACGATCCTTTGTTAAAGACTTTTGGGCTTTAGAATTTTTTTAAAATTAAGAGTTGATTGTTACAAACTTCGTAAGTTTCATATACTCTATTCTGTGTCTTGTTTATCCTATTTTTATAATAATATAGATTAATTGTTTTATTAAATGTAAGGTTTTATTAAAAATTATATATCTTGCTCGTTCTAATGTTTGAAATTAAATGTAAATAAAATTTTAGAGGATACAACCTGATGCTTAACTTGCAAAGTCCTGTCAAAACGAAGATACCGGTTGAATGTCATTCAATATTTAAGCAAAACGAATTCCCGGCGGCCATGTGTCAATAATGGAATCACCGCGAAGTTTCAAAAGAAAGTATGGACATTTAAGTTTTCACCATCGCCGAAATGCAATAACGGACTTGAAAATGTTCCCTCCGCCGAAGGGCGAATTGTTGCAATAAGGTAACATTACGCCGATCTGACCTTTTACGGCTTTGTCCGTAACATTATTCACTCTCCGTATTCGAAACTCAGCTGCCCCGCGGCCACGAAGAGAAATCAAGGCGTTTTCTATTTTATCCGGAGAATTTTCGTCCTGCACTATCGGTCGTGCGAGACCGTAAAAAAATACCTGGGGAAATAGACGGAATTTGGCGTCGTACGGGGTGATGTTAGTTTTATTTAAAGAAATATACCAAATAAAAAGTCCTACTCACCAAATAGCTTAATAACTCAAATGACCAAATTTTGTCAAGATTAACAAGTCAATGATTCTTGCATAAAAGGAAAAACACTCGATCTGTTTGTTTCTCTACAGTAATTCTATAAGTTTAAATTTATTTAAAAGCAGTACTTATTTTACAATTTGTTAAAAATTAAGTTCATTGTTCAAATTAGTTCATTGGAAAATTTGAGGAACATGCGCCAACTATTTTGACCAGAGGTTTATTAAATTTATCCAAACGTTGTCAAAACCGTGGGAGATTAAAATCTTCTATCGACCAAAATTGGCCAAATCTTGAATTTCTAATATTTCATTTGTAATGTGGATATATTTTAATTAATAAATAGTTATGCGAGAAGGTCAGAAAGTCAAACTGAATAAAACAGTATACTTTGGGGAAAAGGAAACCATGAATATAATCAAAATGCAATTTTTAAAAAATAATTTTCTTCTTATTAATATTGTATACTAAAAGAAAAAAACAAATCAATTAAAACTATTGCTAAAAAATATAATTTAGCAGAAAAAATTGTATTTTAAACAATATTTCGATATAAAATTACATTTAATACATCCTTTTTTTAAAGAAAATGCATTTCATGAAATTTAACTTTTCGCTAGTCATTTAAAATGATTTATTTTAAATTATTCTTGGATTTATTTTAAATATTTCAGAAAATCAAATAGTTGACTTCTCAGAAAAAGTAGGTTTATACTTGATCCAATATAATTACGTTTGTTGATTATGCAAATTATAGCTTATAACATCTAAATTATCGTCTAATTTGTAATTTTGACTGTTTAATTCATTCTAGCTTTTTCCCGCTTAATTAATGAAAATAAGATAAATATTTACACTCATCGTCTGTTATTTTAAATAAAATTGTTTATAATTAATTATATATTTATTGAATTTTTTTATAAATCATAAATAAATAATTAGTTTTGGTTTTGGATAATCTAAAATTTTTTCTTCTGCCTGTACCTCTCTGTGGATTTTTTTTCTTCGAATAAATAGAGTGGTTAGTGATACAATTTTTCGAATGCCTGTGATAAAATTTAAACAAATTATGAAAAAAGGGAAATAAATATACCAAAAGAAGAAGGGCACATTCCGAACTTCCAGCCGTCGAAAAAAGTCTTTTTTTGTATTTTTCTTTCAGCCAGTACAGTAGCAATAATACTAATAGGAATTCTGAATATAGGATATTCCATACATTCACAATTTCTATACATTTTTTGCATTAACAATTTTTTTATAAGTCAACTTTTAACTCCGCAATAATGAAAAGCATGACCACGTAGAACTTTTTATATCACAAAGTATATTTAATTTATTATCAGGACTGAAAGGAAGTAGCAGAACTTACAATAATGTAGTCTTGGCGGATTTTAAATATATTTTATAAGTATAAGACTTATTGTGCTTGAGATTCTGTCAATTATATAGCGAAAACTTTGATAATTTAAAAAAACACATTGAGATTTTTTTTTAATCTTGAAATATTTACAAATGAAAAGTATTAAAATTTTGCTAGTATTTATTTCTTGGAATGTTCCAAACGCCTTACCTCACAAAGAACATTCGTGTGCTTTAAAAAAATTAAAAATTCTATAATTTATAATTATCTGTAATTACATGATCGTAGATTTTAATTGGAGGCTGCAATTGATGGACTTTTATGAAAATGTTTTAGCAAATTTTTATAGGTTTTGACACTTTTTTTTTCTCAATATTATAACAATGAAAATCAGATCCGGCGTTTTAAATTGAAAAATTATATAAGAACGGTAATAAATATTGAAATAAACAATAAAACAAGTAGAAAATTAAATTGTAGTTCACAGAAGAACTCATCACTGATGAAAGTAAGAAAAAAAAATACGAGTAGCCTATTTTCAAGCCGTCGTCCGTATGGTGTGAACAATAACCGATTGTCCCTGTATTAATTATCGCCTTTTGTTTGCGTGTGGTCCATTTGAAAATGGATTATTAAACTTTAGATTTTTTTCGTCATGTTATATTCTAATTGAGCTGTTTTATACGGCTTTGAACGGCTCCTGGGCTCTTCTCGGGTAGTGTTTATGTCCTTATTGAATGCAAATAAGGGTAAATAAACCATATGGGTTCGGTTTAAATTTGAGGGTCTATATTTGTATGGTGTAGGGAGGATTTATAACTTTATTAAGTTTATTTTAATCTTGGTTAATCAATATGGATTGGGTTAGTTTTTGATAAAATGCCACTCACCACCAATTGCTTCCTCTTCCTCTGCCGGGCCGTGGCCGATTCTGAACGTGTGCATAGCTGTGGAGGGCCATGAGAAGAGAGGCGACGACGATGCTTGAAGACCACATCTCATGGCATTGGCCTTGTCTCGACTATCGCGATTTTCAAAAGACGAAAGGGGCCGAGGAGAAGAGCTGTGTCAACCGTTTTCTTTCCGTCTATCCCACGGGTCCACTATTCACTTCCACACACTGGGGACTTCTGAGAGAAGTTCAGGGCAGGGAAGAGCTCCCTCGAGGTGGGGGACCTGGGTGGGATCTCGGCAGTCCAATCCGTACTTCCAGAAACGCCTATTCCGGTCCCCCACCAGGACGGCCACGCCTTGGGCACCTCCTCTGAAAAAGAGCAAACTTTAGCCGGCCAGAAGAAACGGCGGACATGAGGAAATCCCTGGCATGCGGATTCGACCTCGCTGTCAGGCTGTTATCAAATATTGGTCTGCTGCAAAAATAATGAAGGTTTTTAAAACGCAGACAAAAAAAATTATAAAAATAAAGAAAATTTATTCGAAATATTTCCCAAAACAATCTATATATCTTTGCCAAAGTGTGACCCTTTATTCCGTTGACATAAAAATCTATTTCGACCCACAATAAAGTCTTGCAGTCGGCTTCACTGCGTTATCTAAAAATCTTATACCTCAAGAAATTGGCAAAATGCTTAAAAAAGTAGAAGTCTGTAAGGTTTCATATCCTAAGTCCTTAAGTTTCCGCAGGGTTGGCATTGCGACATATGGCCTGGCGTTATCTTGAAGAAGAACCTTACGGTTTACTAATCCTGCCATATCCCATGTATTTTGTTAATTTCTCGGCAATATTTCTGCTGCGATAATACCACCATAATTTAATTTAGGATATTATAGTGAACAACCCCAATAGTACACCACCAAACCGTTATAAAGTTTCTTAGCTACAGATTTGGTTTCGGGAAGTGTTTTGGCGCTTTTTCCTTACCTCCTGTTATCGTACAGAATGTATTTTTCATCGCACTTGGAGATTCGACCTCGCTATCACAGTGATATCCAATATTGTGCTGGTGCAAAAATAATGCAAGGTTAAAAGGCAATCAGAAAAAAATTATATAATAAAGAAATATTTCCGATAACAATCTATACATCTTTATCAACGTGTAATTCTTTTATTCCACTGGCGTAAAAATCTTTACTTCGACTCACAATAAAGTCTTGCAAGGTGTTTTCGGCTTCACCGCGTTCTCTAAAAATCTTATACCTCAAGAAGTGATCGAAATGCCTAAAAACGTGTAAGTCTGTAGCCGAGAGGTCGGGTGAATATGGAGGGTGCGGTAAGGTTCCACATCCTAAGTCCTTAAGTTTAAGGTGAACCCTTACGGCTTACCATTGCTGGACGAAGACGTTGCAATTCCCCGTGCATTTTGTCAATTTCTCGGCAATATTTCTCTGCTGCGATAATTTCATTGTAAATCAGGAAATTATAGTGTACAATCCTACTAGTACACCACCAAACCGTAGTCATACGTTTCTTGGCTGCAGATTTGCCTTGTCCGGGAAGTGTTTTGGCGCTTCTTACTTGTCCAACACTGACCTGTACGCCTCCTGTTATCGTACAGAATCCATTTCTCATCGAACGTGGTGATTCGTGGTGATTCGAATCATTTTCGTGGCGCAACAGAAGAGACGTGCAAATTTCAAAGCGTCGATCTCTTTGAGCTTCGGTTAGATCGTGCAGTACTGGTCGAGCTTATTTACTTTACTAGTTTGCTCCGGATGGCGTGCACCATGGCGACTGGTCAACACTAAGCTCTTCCGCAATTTCCAGTGTTGTTTTACGTGAATTTTCTTCAATAAACTTTTAGAGTTGGTCATCGTCCACAACGAAAGGCCTACCACGATCGAAATCTCTGAAGCCATTGCTGCACTGTGCATTGGCTAATGATTCCCTCCACCCAAACTGTATCGATGTTACGCGCCGTTTGAGCCGCACTTCGCCCAAGTACAAATAAATTTGACGAAAATCTAGTTTGGACATACTTAATTTCGCATGTCCTCACGCTTATAAAATTCAATATAAACTAAAATGTTTTGTATAAAAGTTAACAGGTAAAAGTATTTATTAAAATCCAATATATTAAAATTAGATTTGAAGTTTTAGCTTTGTTTACATGACAAGCACCTGCGAAAATAAAACAAATTTTCAAAACCTGCATTAATTTTGCACCAACCCAGAATTTTTGGATGGTGAACGAGATAGCCTACGAAATTCGTTTGTGAACAAAAAACATACGACAGTCTCGAAATTCCTCCACCCTTAAAAAGATGTAAAGAAAGGACTTAACTAATCTTGGCTTAAGGCCACCTTAGGCCGGGTTCACGCCTGGCCCGAATATATTTACCGCAGAAACATTAGATACACGATTTTTTTCCTAAGATAAGTGAGGTTCATACCGGAGCGATAAGACATGAGCCAGCCAGCCAACCACCAAGCCATTGTCCTCACACTTTGGATTTGCCATATTCACCCTTTGCAATATCTTACGACACTGCAGGAAGGGTGAAAAAAAACGGTCTCTTGATACACTTATCTTTCGATATATGTCGCAATCGTAAAAGTGTAAATTTTGTCGTTTCTTCACGTTTTTATAGGCCTGAGCTTCGCCTAACTTACAAGACAATTATCGTATATCGCTTACGACTCAAAGATGTATATCTTATGGCTCTGGTGTGTTCCCTATCTTAGATGATCCAAACAATCTGCCCAACGACTAAGTCTGCAACATCATCATATTACAAATACACAAACCTCTTTTAAGACCTCTTAAGAAACTCCTTAACCTCGATAATAATAATAATCCTTTATTTGACAAATAATATAAATAACAAATTGTTTTCTTGACTAGAATTAAATGATCATACCTAATTTTTAAAACTATTCCAAAATCCCTGCTTATAATAAAAATAGATTTGATTTTTAATCTATATACTCAACAAACCGAAAAAGAATGCTGATGCGTCCCATCTTATTGAGGGATGCAATTCATTGGCTTCATATAGAGAGCGCGTAGGAACACAAACCGAGCCACAGTACTGATAGTTTTGTGCCCCTAGCATGCGTTAAGAGTGAATGTATTTATTAGCGTGAATTTGGATCTGAGAGGGCCGATGGTGGAATATTGAGTAATCCATCGACTTTCAATTATGTTGTTATATAATATGTGTAAAGGGTGATGGAGGAATATCGAGTACTCTACAATCGTAACTGAATGAGTGGTATGTAACTAGTACATAATGTATTTAAGAATGAACGTGAGTACGAATGGGTTTGGAATTGTATGTGTTGGGCGAATTGACCTAGCTGTTGACTGCACCCCCCTCCGGAGCATGTCCTCGATGGCTGGACGGATAAGACTGAGGTTTGCCCCCGGATTGCCAACTTCCGGGATGGATGATTCTCGAGTCTGCCTGCAATTTACTATAATGGAATATCCGACTGCTTGTAATCAAAATTATTCGTAAAGTATTGATTAAAAAATAATGAAACAGCCAATAAAATAGTATATATTCTCTGTGTTTTATGATACAATCAGAAAGAAAACGAAAACAAAAACCGAAAAGAGAACAAAATAATCTGGTGAACACAGATCAAGATAGATTTATATTTTTTCTAAAAAATCAAAGATTAAACTCTTGTGCCACTTCCCAGCGGTAAAACCAGGCAAGACTAGTGAAATGAATAGCTGCAGGCTCATTTAAATGTTTGACTAGGCTTTCTTCCGAGAGCACAGCTCTACCCAAATATGAAGCATTTCAGACAGAATGGTACATTTAGCCAAAAAGTACACGACGGTTTCCTTTTTCCTTGTACTGCACAGAAAACATTTCTGTATCCCTCTGACAGTCTGTCAATGGGGTATAGTTAAGGAACACAAGTTCACCTCGGAGTTTTATGAGCCTGCGGAGATCCCTCAGTTTTAGTGTTCTTACATGTTTATCATTCATCAAATAGAACCCATCGAGATTTGGGTCAAGCTGCTTGCGCAACTTAACACCAAATGGGCACCGATGTTCCATTTATTGAGTTTTAAAGGTGCTTTCTATTTTGTTTCTTGTATTGGCTAGTATTTTTCGAGATGTTAATGGGATGTAAAAAGTCCATTCTCAATAATCGTTCTGTCTCTTTTGACAAGTTTTAACTTAAGGATGTTTGACGATGTGTAAATAGTACTATGTGTACCTACCTACGTGTTCGGAACGTAGTAAACCCTGTTTGTACAGACCGATGAACCTGTAGGTTGATAGTTCCTGATATTTCTGTAGACTGAACGTTGAAACAAACACTCCAAGTTGTTTGATGAAGCGTAAATATTGTTATTAACCACTTTTTTATAGTTAGCTCATCTCTGATAGGCGTAATATGACCAAATATCTCACTGACCATCCCTTCAACCTACTAGACCGAATAGACAATTCATCTTTGACTTGACCTTACTATGTAAAAGATGATGGTTGTTTGAAGAAGTGAAAATAATATTATGTGTACAGAATATACTAAACCTTGCTAAACCATAAAATTTGTGAAGGCTTAACAGACGTTCTTTCTAATCACCATTTTTTATGTAGTTTGATCTCCTCCAAACGGCCAAATATCGCACCGATCAACCATTGATGACGGCGAATGATCGAAAACTGATTGACAGATAACTCATCATTTTGACTTGGCGAGAATATTGACCGCTTAGTATACCAACACAAATCAGCAAGGGAGGCAAACCTGAATGGTCGAAAACGTCAAAATTAAGTTCAGAAAGAGACTATGTTAATAATTGTTTCCCATCTATTGTCGGACTGTCCAAAACTACAGCCGTATTAAAATGAACAGAAGCGGCCAAACTATAGTTTCCTCTACTGACCTTAATGAGAAATCTCACAGAAGAGGTTGTACGTTGTCGTTCAGATCATCCTATCGGCCAACAGATTAAATTGGCCAAGATTGAAGGATGTAGGTGATTAGAAACGACCAAACTGCAGGTTCACCTCCCTGCAGATCATAGCAAAAATCCAAGAAAGATTATTAAACATGAGGCATGAGGATGTCGGCTGATCATAAAGTGGTATGCATAATTTGACTCAATCTCGCCAGCATTTTCGATTTATTCATGGCATATGTTGCTGTGCTCATAATTAGTTGATTGTAAGATATCTTTTTGAGGTCTTCGACGTCATATACTTCTAGGTGAGAGATTTCATTGGTTGTTTTTGGAGGGTCGGTCAAGGAAGAAGACGAAGACTGTTTATCCTTTTAAAAACAATATATTTACCAAAGTTTCGGCTCCCTTGGAGCCATCTTCAGGACATACATCT